ATATATATATATATAAGCACTTTGTATTTATACATATATATATATATGTATATAAATTCTGAATTCACATTTCCATGTTACCCGGAAGGAAGCATGCAAGAACAGCATATGGAGGGGGAGACACTGAACAAGGTTCCTCTGGTAGAGGGCAGGTCTGCCTAGGACAAACCTGCTTCCAGAAGCATTCCCCAGAGAGCTGAAGAAAGGGGAAGTGCTTTTAGCTCCCATTCCCTCTGCACAGCAGTTTTCCTGAAGATCCGCAGAGCAGCTTCCTGTATTCCCCATACAGGCCACAGATCCAACCAAAATCTAAGGAACCACCAGGCTAGAGCTGGAGAAGGAAAAGCAAACAAAAACTCAAGCCAAAACCTATTATCATTCAGTCTGGTAGAGAAAAGTGGTAATTCACAGGTCAGCAACTGAACCTAGGCACCACTATATGGAGGACCCCTGTTTGCCCATGTCAAAACAAGTGACTTCATTCCCACCTCTCAGTCCCTTATGATCATCATCCCTGGATCTTTCTAAGATCCCCATCCTTGTCCAACTGCCAAAGTACAGCTGGGCCTCACAATCTGTCCAGCTTATGCCCAAAGGAGCATCCACTCATCTTGCAAACAGTCTCTTCGCATCCCACCAGTCTCTCTGCATCTCAAAGAGCACCTAACTGTCTGTAGGGAAGTGATCATATGTTTTCAAAGGCCTAGATTTCATTAGAGATTCCTGCACAATCTCACCTTCTGAAGAAAGTCAACAAATTTCAGCCGGGCAAGAAATCGCCTCACTTCTCCACGGCTTATTTTGGGAGTGGTGGTGTCCTTTAGCCACACCATTCGACCTTGACTCATCATGGCCCACTTCAGGCTCAGCTTGCTGACTGAGAGAATTCCTGGTTGTTTTTCAGAGGTTGCAGTTGTTGTTACAGTGATGTGAAATGCATCTTTCTGGAGATCGTTAATCCCAACTGGTCCATTGGAAAAGACAGAGAAAATATTGGTGAGGAGTAAATGATTACACTTCTTCCAAAAGAAATCTTACAGTCTTTACTCAGTCAAAATATCCACTGGACCGAGGGTACATTCAGTCTGACTTTACAATTGCATATACCTTAGTCAATCACGGAAAATAATTTTAAGTTAAAAATTTTCCATGGAAACAAACAGAAATTTGGATTAGAAATTGGTTTGGTTCCAGGTGATGTTTTTGAGCCTGACATAGGAGATGCACATATTTCAATAATGCAGTTCACTTCAGAGAGCTTTTCTTCCCACACCTGTTAGCAGATACTGTTTTACCTCTATAGAAGGGGAAACCGGTAAAGCATGGGCAAATCAGTTCACTCCAGTCACTGCAGAATCATCTGTACCAACCTCAGAAATCCCAGTTTCTACCAAACCCCTCTAGAATGATATTCTATTTGTTCTTGACTGAGCTGCATTTTTGATACAAATCCAATTAGCTATATCACTAGGTAGCAGCTTTTCTATGCTTCCTGGCCTACTGGACACAGTGTTGGATGAACTGATCTTTTATCCCACATCCTGCCATCTCAACAGGCTGGCTGTTGCTTGAACTGCTTTAGAAAGAGCAAAGAAATCCAACAGGCACTGTACAAGCTTGTATAGATGTTGAATCCAGATCTACTTTTCCCTGAAAAGACACATTTAAATATTTTTGATTCCCTCTTTCGAAAATAAAGAGGAAGAAGCAGCACAGCTGCTATCCCAGAGAGCAGGAGAAGACGGCCAACAAAGGTAGATGTGTATCTAAGGTGACAAACAGAAGTTTCATACTGATTCTTCATTCACCACCTTAAATCATAAATAGCTCCATGGAAAGCCAGAGAACTTCTCTGGTGTAAAACATGCATGAAATCAAACTCAGACCTTTTCTTGCTTAAACGTGTGCAAGAAACTTGGTGGGTCTTTTATTTGCAAAGTAGGGGTTGGACAGGACTTTCCTTCAGGAGGGAGATGAGTCTTATTTCCTATTGCTGGCCTATGTGTGGTGGACTTCAGGTGCTACATTTAAAGGCACAACTAAATCCCATTGTTTCTCACAGTTACCTCTCCCTCCATATTTCTTTTAGCCTAGGTAGTTTCTCCTCCATTTGTACTCACCTGCTGAAGCAATGACTTTGTCTGTGGCATTGGTGAGGTCCAAAAGGACTGTAGGAAATACAGGATGGAGGAGATAGAGGTGGCGCAGCCCTGGGCGCTCAGGTCCGGGACCAGGTTGCTGTTGGAATGAAGGACAGGCAAAAATGTTACAGCTAGCAAAGAGGAGTCTAGCTTTGCCAAAGAAATAAAAGAAGTTTTCTGACACTGCACTCTCTCTACATAAATCAGTGAATCAAAAACTCTATGGTATTACAGAAATGAAATACTGCAATTATTTTTTTTTCTAAAACAGAATTTGCTCCACAACTTCTGTTTGATAAGGTTGAGATCTGGATCTGTCAAAGCCAGCTTGATGGGTGAAGCTACAGTCTGGAAGTTTGAGCCTCCATGCTGACTTGTGTGCCTGTGTGCAGAGAAGAAACACTCTGGGGCTGGGAACAAATCTGCAGTAAAAATATCTCAGTGTTGCAGAAAAAAATGAAATTCAAGCAGAAAGTTTTGGTTTTGGACATGTGAACTTTCTGTCAATAAAGCTTTTTGCTGAAGGATCTGCACACAAAACCTCCTGTGTTCAACCTCAGAGAAGTCAGAGTGTCAAAGCAAGAGGAAAAGATGTCCCTGACAGCATTCTTATATGGCAAGTTTAAAGTTCAATTACATTAGGAATAGAAAACAGAGACTCAATGTGCCTTACAGAGAAACCTCAAAGTGAAGAAAGGATGCTTGCTCACCAAACTTTGTAACACAGGCTGTGCTTCATCAGCCCAGAAGAGAAAAACAGACTTCTTATCCAAAGTCATCACCGACAGCGCATCAAGTTGTTGCTTCTGCCACAGGAATTCCTGGTTCCAAACAGGGAGGCCGGATTTGCCATCTACCACCACCACCTCAAGGCAGGGGAGAGATTTAGCATTAACGGGTGTCCAGGTGTGGGTGTACAGAGAGCTTCCTTAAAGTGGCATGGCCTGTCCTGTTCCTTTTCATGCCTGTGGCCACACAGTGATGAGTGTCAGCCACAAAAATGGGAAGAGCAAGGAGGAGAGAATGACTGTCCCTTTCTACCCAACCTCCCTCACTCCTATGCTGCCATTGTCCTCCTTGCCTTCACTTGTTTTACCTTTTTGTTCCCATTTCCAGTGTGTGCTTGGAGCATGAAGTCCAGAGTTTGGTCAGCACCGAAGTAACCTGGTACAGGCTGGCTGCAAATTTGGAAAAGAAACACTCAGCCTCATGGCAGAAAAACAAGGATTTCAGATGGAGGCAGAACGGTTGCTTTCGTCCTACATTCTGCCTTTTAAAAAGGCAGGATTTGCCATGCTACATAAGATCTTTCATCCACTCAGAACTGTTCTGACTGTCAGGAACCACTTGATGGTGGATTAGGAAAATGAAAAATGATCAACCAGCCCATGGTGCTTGTTAGTCATTCTTCAGAGT